TGCAACGGCCTGACAGAAACTTCTCGATACCCCGCTGCGGCCCTGCAAGAATCCGTTTCGCATCGCAGCACCATGCACTGCTCATGACAAGCCTGCCACCCTTCATCCCCTCCTTTGTCCTCATCGGATGCTCGTCTTCACAAAATCCTTCAACCCTTCCGTCAGCGCTACAACAAACCTACACAAAACTCATCGAGGCCATGTTTTTTTTGGCACGGTCCTCGCGACTACTTACCCACAAGTAGAGTGGATCAGAAGTCATGCCTTCGATCTTCAAAACCCGCTGCGGTGGCTGGCGGACGCGACCAGTCCGTCGTCGGGTTGATGTTGCCCCCCGGCGCTGTCGGACGCGGCGATGAGACTCTTTAGAGTGTCGCGGTGCCTCCTGCGAGTCGACACGGGTCCTCCTGGCCGAGACGGCCGTCAACTGACGGGCGGCGTGCCCAGGAATCGTGGTAGGGGGCTGGGGAGTTTGTGGCTGCCGGCGGCGAGGCGGTAGTTGAGCGGAGACGATGAGGTGTGGGATTTGGCGGCGAAGGTTGAGGAAGGTGTGGTACGTTGGGGGAGAAGGGCGGAGTCGAACGCAGAATCTCGCCGCGTGGAAGTAGAGTCAGGATCCGGATTCTGATTGGGATTTTAGAGGGAGGAAGTCGACGTCGACCTCGGAGTCTGGATCCATCGCTGATGAGGGAGGAGTCGGTGGAGGAGAAGGATCAGAAGAGCCTTAATAATAGTAGTCCGAAGGTAGAGCTACCATACCTTTGTAGATATTTTAATGGGAAAAATACTTCCGGCCCTCAAAATCCAAGAAAATGTGTTTACCACCCCCAATATTTTGTTAAACGGGTGTTTACCCCCAAAAATAAAGAGTTTGTTTTCTGAGTCCCAAAACACAAAACCCAATTGATTAAAATATGTGAAGATCATAATACCCTTCTCTCTCTCTCTTTATCATGATGTACTGAGATGATAGTTGAAATAACTGACGGGGATTATTTTATTATTTTTGTTTTTTATTATCAATTCGTTATTGATGAGGGGGAACTAACTATTTGTATTGGGAGATTGTTAAAGTTAGGGGTTAATTGTTAAGGTTACGATTTAATTGTTAAGGTTATGGGTCAATTGTTAAGGTTATGGATCCCTTCTCTCTCTTTATCATGATGTTACTGTGATGATCTTGAAATGATTGAAGAGGATTTTTATTTTATTATTTTTGTTTTTTATTATTTTTATTGTTGATGAGGAAACTAATTGTTTTTGTTTGTATTGGGATATTGTTAATGTTACGAGTTTAATTGTTAAGGTTACATGTCAATTGTTAAGCTTACGGGTTTAATTATTAAGGTTACGAGTCAATTGTTAAGGTTACAGGTCAATTGTTAAAGTTACATGTTTAATTATTAAAGTTACGGATTTAATTGTTAAGGTTACGGGTTTAATTGTTAATGTTATGCGTTTAATTGTTAAGGTTACGGGTTTAATTGTTAAGGTTACGGGTCAATTGTTAAGGTTACGGGTTTAATTGTTAATGTTACAGGTTTAATTGTTAAGGTTACGGGTTTAATTGTTAATATTACAGGTCAATTGTTAAGGTTACGGGTCAATTGTTAATGTTACGGGTTTAATTGTTAAGGTTACGGGTTTAATTGTTAAGGTTATGAGTCAATTGTTAAGGTTACGGGTTTAATTGTTAAGGTTCGAGAGAGAGAGAAGGAATCCATAAGCTTAACAATTGACCCGTAACCTTAATAATTAAACCCGTAACCTTAACAATTGACCCGTAACCTTAACAATTAAACCCATAACCTTAACAATTGACCCGTAACCTTAACAATTAAACCATAACCTTAATAATTAAGCACATAACCTTAACAATTAAACCCGTAACCTTAATAATTGACCCGTAACCTTAACAATTGACTCGGTAACCTTAACAATTGACCCGTAACCTTAACAATTAAACCCGTAACCTTAACAATTAAACCCGTAACCTTAACAATTGACCCGTAACCTTAACAATTAAAACCGTAACCTTAACAATTAAACCCGTAACCTTAACAATTGACCCGTAACCTTAACAATTAAACCCGTAACCTTAACAATTAAATCCGTAACCTTAACAATTGACCCGTAACATTAACAATTAAACCCGTAACCTTAACAATTAAACCCATAGCCTTAACAATTGACCCGTAACCTTAACAATTAAACCCCTAGCCTTAACAATTGATCCGTAACCTTAACAATTGACCCGTAACCTTAACAGTTAAACCCGTAACCTTAACAATTAAACCCGTAACCTTAACAATTGACTCGTAACCTTAACAATTAAACTCGTAACATTAACAATTAAACTCATAACCTTAACAATTGACTCGTAACCTTAACAATTAACCGTTAACCTTAACAATTAAACCCGTAACCTTAACAATTAAACCCGTAACCTTAATAATCTCCCAATACAAACAAAAATAATTAATTTCCTCATCAACAAAGAAAATAATAAAAAATAAAAATAATAAAATAGCAATCCCCTTCAATCATTTCAAGATCATCACAGTAACATCATGAGAGAGAGAGAGAGAGAGAGAGAGAGAGAGAGAGAGAGAGAGAGAAGGGAATAACCTTAACAGTTAACCCGTAACCTTAACAATTAAATCGTAACCTTAACAATTAACCCCTAACTTTAACAATTTTCCAATACAAACAGTTAGTTCCCCCTCATCAACAATAAAAATAATAAAAAATAAAAATAATAAAATAATCCTCGTCAGTCATTTCAACTATCATCTCAGTACATCATGATAAAGAGAGAGAGAGAGAAGGGTATTATGGTCTTCACATATTTTTAATCTCTTGGGTTTTGTGTTTTGGGGGCTCAGAGAACAAACTCTTTATTTTTTGGGGCAAAACACCCGTTGACAAAGTTTTGAGGGTGGGAAGCATGTTTTCTTAGCTTTTGGGGGATGGAAGCATTTTTCCCTATTTTAATTAGTCCAGTACCTGGTGTTTGTTAATGCAAATGACTTGTATCATTTACCTTCTTATTTTTTCCGCGCCCTAATGCAGATTCTCTCCTTATTAGGTGACACATTTTTGCGGTTTCAGTGCGACTTCGGGGCTTTTTTCTTTGGGTTGGGGGTGGTTAGTCACCTAGAATATTTTAAGTTGAACCAGGATAAATGGTAAAGTGGGATAATTTTTTTACACTTGGATAATTTAGTGGAAAAATAATGGATAATTTTGTGAAGTCGAATAATTTGGTAGGATAATTTGGTGGGATAATGATGGATAATATTATGAAGTTGCATAATTTGGTAGGATAATTTAGTGGGAGTAATGATGGGTATATATTACTATTGTTAATAATTGTATATTAAAAATAATATAAAATTAATAAGCAATTGATTATTCTAGTAAAAACTATAAAATATAATGTAATAAAGCATCACTATTCATCTCAAATAATAAAATATTTTACAACTAAATAAAAATCTAAATCCCTAGAGAGACTCGACTTCCATCATCCCACATGGTCTCTGCCATAGAATTTCTTCAAGCTCCTGCAGCTGCTCGTCAAGTATGTAACTTGTCTTCTTCATCGGAGTCATCATCTGCATCAGCAATATTTCGTGGAGGATCGGAAATGTCGAAGTCATCATTTGTATTCTCCAACCTTAAAAAGTTATGCAATCCTATGCATGCAACAAACATCTTTATTTGTGTGGCATATGGAAAACCTGGAGTTTGGCTCTTGAAAATAGTGAATCTAGACTTAAAAACTCCAAAGATGCGCTCGACACAACTTCTAAGAGATGCATGCAGATGGTTGAAAACTTCTTTTGAATTTCATGATCGTTGTCAATTATTAGCAGGGCCGAACTCTGAAAGATGGTACCTTTGACCTCGGTATGGAGCAAGAAATTATAGCCTATTTGGATAGCCGTAATCAACTAGATAAAATTTATCTACAAATGAGAATAAAAATATAAATGAGAAAAAATATTATAAACTAAAAAATATTCTTTAATTGATAGAATACTATGTAAATATTATTACTTTGTGGAAGTGGAAGTCCATAAGGTCTACTCATTGCATCCTTCAAGACTCTTGCATCATTAGCAGAGCCCTCCCACCCAGCTAAGACATAAATAAATTTGAGATCAAATGTGCAAGCTGCCAAGACGTTCTGAGAGAGAAAATCATGTCTATTTCAATAAGGCGTTTGATCTATGTTATACACCATGCATGGTATATGCGTCCTATCTATTGCACCGATACAGTCTTGAATAATCAATATGTCAGACCATCTCAAGTGATGTGTGTGTGGGCGCAAGGTACATCATTACAATTACTTAATGGGATATATTGCAATTAATCCAATATTTGAATTCTTAAGTTAGGAGGTAGCTGTTTTTGAGGGCTTAAGGTACATCATTACAATTACATAATGTATAAAGTTTAAGCGTTTTTAGGTAGTCCATATAATATTAC